TTAATGTAAAGTTGTAATCAATTAGTGTTAGTAGTGAATAAATTATATTCAAATTATTATTACACTTTATTAATGTAAAATGTAACGGTTCTACATTAATTAAAAAAATGAACGGGAAAATGAATGGAGGTTTTATTAAATGTTTTATTAAATGCTATATGCCAGCAATTATATATATATAGATATCATACTTTAAAAAATAATATTGACATCTTATATCCCAATTATATATTTCTGTTAATAAAATATATATATATATATATATATATATATGAGGGATAGTTAGAGTAGGTGATAATAAAATTCAAGGGTTGATTTGCCATTTACTTTTGGATTAGTTGACTATCTCGTCAACTAGCTTGGACTGTTGCAAACTATATTCCAGCTAAATGACACAATCTATATCCTTAACCTTAAAGCTTATGCAAAAATTATTATTCCTTATAAAAATGAAATATAACTGCAAACATATATATAATTTGTTAATTGGTTGTTGCTTGTTGGAACAAACCACCAGACATTGACATTAGAGAATATCTAATATTTATTTTTATTATTATTATTATTTTTTGTTTATGTACAATGAGTCAAGATAAGAGAAAAAAGAATGTGGGAAAACAGATAGAGATGGGTAGGCGCTACCTTAGTAATTAACTAAATAATAATAATAATAATACCTTATCTGAGGCTTCAAGACTTGCATGGATTTTCATAAAAAAACTTTGATAAATTTTATTCCTTTTTCTTACAACAATAAACCTTTTTTCATGCATAAATTTGATAATGGCATCATACATATGACTAAAGACTAGACTCCGGTCACCAGAATATCCTTTCCGGCCAATCTTTTTTCTTTCCGGCCGGTCGAGGACTTGTTCTGGTCAAACGAGTCTTGGGTTAAGACCACATAGTCGGTACCTTCCCACTTCAATCCCCTGTCTCTCAATTTGCTCTCTTTTGATCATTTTCACAAACACTTTGAGCTTAATTAATGAATAAAGATTGAATCTTTTTTGCAGCAGTTTTTGACTCATTCAGCAGTGTTGTGTGCATTCATTTATTTCTTTATATGGTTTGCCCACTTTGTAAAAAGTGGTTTGAAAATGGAAGAGGGCGTGGCGTGCATGAATGGAAAGTGCCCATCATCAAACTCAGTGTCTGAATGGAAAAAGGGCTGGCCTTTGCGATCGGGTGGTTTTGCTACGCTCTGTGATAAGTGCGGGTATGAATGCACACCATCTACCAATTTATCACCCCTTTTCTCATCTCATTTTTCTTTTCCTAAAAAAAAGGGAAAAAAAAATCATATGCCAATTCTATTTGAGGTTAATAAGGTTTGTTGTGAGATTCTTGTTTTCTTTCCTTTTCATTTCAAATCTATGTCCAATTTTTGGAGAAATTTGAGCCTATTAGGTCTCCCTTGTCTATTTTGGATTGATGTAGTAGTAATCTTGTTGGGTCATGGTTAGTTCAATATGCACTGGGGTTAAAATCTGGAAGTATGCTCTTGTAACAAAGCATTAGGAAGTTACTTGAGAATTAGGCAGAACCATAAGAAGTTCCTGTATATCTGATGGCTGATGACATTTTGTGGAGTAAATGATTTTTTTTTAAAAAAAAAAAAAATTGAATCTTTTGAGTTATTAAACAACAGGACTGCCTATCAACAACTGACTTTCTGCGAAATGTTCCATTCGGAGGAAACCGGTTGGAGAGAGTGCACTTCATGTGGGAAGGTGAGTTCATAGTTCCTACCGTTAAACGGTTTTGCACATTTTTCCTTCAGAAGATAGTCAGATTTTTACGAGTAAATCGTTGGTTTATTTATTTATTTTTTTTCTTTGAATTGCAGAGTCTCCATTGTGGTTGCATTGCATCTAGTTCGTTTCTTGAGCTAATCGACACAGGTGGCGTGAATTGTAGAGGCTGCTCTAAATCTCCTTCTGAGGAAAGAGACAAAGCATGTGATCTTTCGGCAGAAAATGGTGCTGCCAACCGGGATATCGAAACGATTGTCCCCCCGAAATCGAGCGATGATGCTACGAATTCAAAAAAATCCGAAAATGATTATTCTGGCTCGGGTGAACAAAGAGGTCATCATGACTGGCTATCGAGTTTTTATCAGCCTTCTGTACAAGAAAATAAAGGTCCCGGAATTTTACACTCGTCGTTAGTCTCGACTGATTTGAGCATAAGTTTGTGTTCTCCTTCATCAAATGCGAAACCGACCACTGCAACTTCTTCCTTTCAACTGTCGTGTAGGCCTCGCCAGCTCATACCGAGGCTACCGATTCCTGTTCTTGCAGCAGGGTTGGAAGCAAACCCAAACTCCATTCCACAGGTTCGTGTCGCGAGGCCACCTGTCGAAGGACGAATCAAGAATCAGTTGCTTCCACGTTATTGGCCTCGCCTGACGGACCAGGAATTGCAGCAAATTTCTGGAGAGTATCCTCCATGATTTTACTGGTTATATTGCAGCAGTGTGCTATTGAGTTTTTAACTTTTTATTTTCTTAACTGTTGTTATTTTCTAGCTCGAATTCTAGGATTGTTCCATTATTCGAGAAGGTTTTGAGTGCAAGTGATGCGGGTCGAATAGGTCGTCTGGTTCTACCTAAAGCATGCGCTGAAGTGAGTTTTGCCATATCTCATCTATACAGTTTTTGCTGAGCTATCTATAGTGTAAATGAGATTTAGAGATATAATTCACCCGTGCAGGCGTATTTTCCTCCGATCTCTCAGCCTGAGGGCCTTCCCCTGAGGATTCAAGATGTGAAGGGAAAAGAATGGCTTTTCCAGTTTCGGTTTTGGCCCAACAATAACAGCCGAATGTACGTTTTGGAAGGCGTGACTCCTTGCATCCAGTCGATGCAACTACAAGCTGGAGATACTGGTAATCTATGAACATTCTTTTTCTTTAAATATTACAAATAAATCTTAAAAAAAAAATGTCTTGTCAGTTACTTTCAGCCGTATGGATCCGGGTGGAAAACTTTTGATGGGATACCGAAAAGCATCGAACGCTACTTCTGCACCCAAGGTAAAGCCAAGAGTGAATTTTTCCTCTATTAATCTCATGCTTACACATAGATTTCATTTTGACAGTATTTTCACATGAAAGCAAACTAAATATCAATGTTGGTTGGTTGTTAAATGGGTCAGGATTCACAGTATCCCATACATAATGGTGTTTTTCAAGGTGAACTACTCTTAAGCAACTCCGAAAATCAATCCATAATGAGCGGTTACTCGGGTTTTCGTCACACAATGAGAGGGACCAGAAATCCTTATTTGGGAAATGCATCTAAGTTAGTAGCAGAAAATCCAGTGGCCCAATCGATGCTTCTTCCCGAACGGAAAAGAAGAAATATTGGTCCCAAGAGTAAACGGCTGCTCATTGACGGTCACGATTCTTTGGAGCTGACACTTTCGTGGGAAGAAGTTCAAGATATGCTCTGTCCCCCACCAAGTGTCAAGCCAAGCACTTTCTCGGTCGAGGATCATGAATTCGAAGAGTACGAAGTAAGAAATCAATAAAAAAAAAAAAAGTTCCCATTTTGAGCTACGTACGAAGCTATATCGTTACGAGTCCTTATTTTGTTTAGATGTTTTCTAATCTTTGTTACAGGAACCACCTGTTTTTGCGAAGAGGAGTATTTTCGTTGCTCGTGTATCTGGGTAAGATAGGAAAAAAAAGGGTCTTGTTATCAAGAATTGTTTTGATTTCATTTTCTTTCCAGAAAGAGTGACAAAGCGTATGAAACCTCTCGAATTCAGGGAGCACGAGCAGTGGACTCAATGCGATAGTTGCTTCAAATGGCGAAAAGTGCCGATCGACATCCTTCTCCCTCCCAAATGGACGTGCCACGAAAATATCTACGATCATACAAGGTTGGTTGGGCATTTATTCACTTCAAATACAAAGAGATTTTGGCTCTACCTTTCCAAAACTAGTCGTGTTTCAAGTTTCATGCTTCTTATATACATATGCTTACATGTCGAGCATTGCTGTTCTTTCGGTGTTAGATGCTCGTGTTCTGCACCCGATGAATTAAACCCCAGCGAGCTCGAAAATCTGCTCAAAATGAACAAAGGTATCGTTAACTTCTTGTTTCGCTTTAATTCGCTTCAACATATCCTCGCTTTTTGTTCTTTGTTTATGATGTACATACATCCATTACATAGACTTCACGAAATCAAGAATTGGACCAAGTCTCATCAAACCTGCGCAAAACGAGCACGAAACTCCCGACCCGGAAAACCCGACAAACCCATCCGTAGCCGAGACGGGCGAACGAGCCGCCACCTCATCGTCCGCAGCCACCACAAAGCACCCGAGGCACCGCCCGGGCTGCTCGTGCATCGTGTGCATACAGCCGCCGAGCGGCAAGGGCAAGCACCAGCCGACGTGTGTGTGTAATGTTTGCTCGACCGTAAAGCGCCGCTTCAAAACCCTCATGATGAGAAAGAAGAAACGCCAGTCGGAACGCGAGGCTGAGATCGTGCGTGGGTCCCACCACGTCGACACAGAAAATGCAGAGGCTTTGTTGAAGGGAGGGTTGGATTTGAATTGCCGTCCGATTAGGGAGAATGTGGTCAGCATGACGAGCCTCGTACGAGAAGCTAGTTTGCCACTCGAGAAGTATTTGAGGCAGCACGGGCTGACGAGCTTGGTATCAGACGAGCCAGTACCGGTAGAGAATGTTGACATGGCTCAATCACAGGAGGATCATGGTATTTGTACTGCTGGTGTGCAAGAACAGGAAGAGGATGGTGATAATTTCTCTGAAAAGGGATCAAAAGAAGAATGATTCTTGATTTTGCCTTTTTTTTTTTTTTTTTTTTTTTTTTTTTTTTTTTTTTTTTTTTTTTTTTTTCCATCTCCTTTTGTTGGATTTCCTTATGATTCTGTGAGTTGACAGTAAAGTATGAATAAATGTAGAACCTTTCTAAGTCGAGAAATGAACATACATATTAAGAACAGCATGTTCATTGTTATTTCCTTACTGTAAGCCAAGCCAAATGACACATTCATAACACTTTAACACACTTCCATCTTAAATATCGAACATTTGGGAGGATACTATATACTAGTAAATATATTACAAGCTAGAAATAGAACAAGTATCAACATAAGGGCACTCGGCACAATGAATCTCAACTGCACTTCCGACCCACTCGACGGAGAAAACGAACTCTATACAAGAGAAACATACCCAGTTGTGTGAAAAATCATCTTTTATCTTCTCTGTGAGATCCTCATTTCATCAAACTCAAGAAAGAAGAAGAAGAAAAACAAAAAAAAAGTTCCAAAAACTTACTCTACTAACTATCAAAATCTTTCACTCGACCTACGAACGGTGGATGAAGAAAATCTACAGCTTTCCTGCCGATCACTTTCCTCTAATAACAGAGTAGACGAACTCGATCTGGGAGGGAGAGCTAGCGGCAACCCATGCAGGGGTGTAATAGACTTAGGTCTAGCCGAAGGAGGAGAAGGAGAAAAATTCGATCTTGTGGCCTTCGGCACAATCCCATTTAAGCTGGGTGATCTGAACATCTGTTTGCCGCCAATTTTGCTCGGCTCCTGCAAAGGAAACCGAGACGCATACTTCAAATCCTGTATGGTCTTGAGGTGCTCAACAATGAACCTCATCGTGGGCCTCTCTGAGGGGTCCACCTGGAGACACCGTTGGGCAATATCGGCCACTGTCCTAGCAGCTCTGGCCGGAAAACGACCCTTCAGCTGAGGGTCCATGATAAGGGATAACCTGCAATCGTCTGCCAGGAAAGGGCGACTCCATTTTACGAGATTCCTCTCTTCCTTTGCATGCCGGCTGTCGAGGTTTTTCCTACCCGTGAGCAATTCGAGAAGCACAATACCGAAACTCCACACGTTGCTCTTTGGTGTTAACAGGCCCCTTTCAAGAGTCTCCACTGAAAGATTTGCCACAGCCTGAACGTATATACAGATATTGGTGATTTTACGTAAGAAATTATTTATTCAACAGTCACGCGTTAGATAAAAGAACTTACGACTGAGCTGCTGGAGATATCTGCCTCGGGAATGTGGCTGATGCAACCATACCCAGAAAGCTTTGCACTAAAATCCTTGTCAATCTGTATATTTGAGGTTGAGAAATCATGGAACATTGCCTGTACAGCAGTAAAAGCATAAGGTACTACAAAGTAAAAGTAAAAGCAAAATCAACTGTGTTTCCAAAATATAGCAAATTTTGGTTCAGATATTAGACAACATATGATTTTAATTACCTGAAAGGGTCCTTCCTCATGCAAAAAGGTAAGACCTTGTGCGGCACACAGAGCAACTTTCATTCTGCTATTCCAGTCGAGCGGTGGACCATCTGATCTTCCATATAAAAGCCGATCGAGGCTTCCATGAAATAGCCTCTCATAAACCAACATCCTGAGACCTGAGCCTTCGCGCGCATGATATCCAATTAATTTACAGAGGTAAGGGTGTTGCAAAGATGCTAGCGTATTTACATCATTCACAAATTCCTTCAAACCCTGTAAAAAAAGGAACAATAAATATTGAAAATGTGTGAGATGTATTTAGAGGCTTTTTGACAGAAATTTGGAAGCTCCAACACAGCTAAATCAACGATAGGATCATTAAGATGACATCAATCATCCATGTATACCCGTTAATTAGATTAGATTATATTCGCCCAAAGAAAGTGACAGTACCTGGTTGCAAGGATGAAGACGAGTCACAGTGGCTTCAAGCTTCTTTGATCCAGAAGCATCCTCCACAAACGAAGCTCGGTATATGACAGAAGATAAACCTTCAGACATACATCTCTCAGGAGAAAAGTTATGACAAGCAGATGCAAGTTCTTCATAGGAAAAATTGAGAAGTGTCCCTTTAGACGTGAGAGCTGGATGTGAAGTAGGGGGTAGAGGGAGGGGCCCGGACATGTTAAGAGGGCCACTGCCATTTATCATTTTAAAACTTGCAGTGGTCTTAAGAGCATTAGCACCACAGGGTGATGGGAGGGGAAGAGGCTGAGGACTCGATGAATTACTATATTCTTTTATGGACCCGATTCGAGTTCTTGTTTCTTCTTGATCCTCATATTCGGCAGATGCAAGTGCATCTTGTTCGGCAGCATCGAGACTAGAAGGGGCTGATAATGTTCGCATTCTGCTACTGCTTACTCCACTAACATTTGACTGTAAAGGTTTAACTCTGGTATTGAAGCTCGAGGGAGCAGACTGTAGAGAGCGCGTACGGTTTTGGGGTTCAGGCAAAATAGAAGGTGAATGCTCCTGTGGGTTCACATGTTTAACGTAATTGGTATGGTCGGATTTCTTCTTCTTACTCTTTAACACAGTAAAGCATCCCATGTTGCAAGTGAAAACTTTGCAATATCAACCAGGTGCGAGTTCCAGCTGAAAGCAAAAGAAAATATTGATGAGAAACACGAGAAGGACACTTTTCTTACTTGATATCCGTACAGAACAAATTTGAAGAAAAGGACTTCACTCAACTCGGCAGAAGAAAAAGGTACATACAGTGCTATGAAATAATAAATTCAGAGTCTGGACTACAAGCAGAAGCAGATAAACAAAAACAGGGCTACTATTTTGCCTGTCATCAGTAAAATGTCCGGGGAAAAAGTCTAGCAATCTAGTTTTGATACTGTAAAATAGACAAAAATGAAAGTAGTACACTACTCTCTTTCCGTGAAAACAAATTTATGGTGTTAGGAAGGCAGATGCAACTTTCCCACTGAAGGAAAACTATATACATATAAGCAAAAGGGAACAATTTTACACAGAGAATGTTAACTAAGAAATATGGTAATTATAGGCTACAGTTATTTAAAGACTCTGGCCTTCAAAAGAGGTTGGCTTTAGATGATATTTAACTTAATCTCAGTATTATCAATCAACCCACAGGATCAACTTTGAGAGAGTGGAATAATGCTCCCAATTTCCAACACGAGGCACGTAATTACACGGAATATCATAGTTGTGATACCTCAAATCTGGTTCTCCTTATCAAGTGATCACAGCATTCAACCACTGACAAAAACTTTCAAATATTTGAAAATTATTTCATATTATCAATAACAACAACTTCTAATGTACAAATTAGCAAGCAATAACTGAAACCACCAAATATTGAAAAAAAAAAAAAGAAGCAAATTATATTGTTGCGCCACTTAGGATGGTCATCAATCAAAGGAAAAGGTAATTCTCCCAGCTCACACTATATCTGGAATCGCATGCATATTGAAGCAGAGCGAATCTCATTTCTATATCAACCCAGTAGATTAACTTCAGTTGGTACACACAGAAACAAGAAACAATAAGCCCAGATCGTGTAACTGTATACACCAATGAACATAATTTTTTTATTTTTTTTTAAACAAATCTAAATAAAGAAATGCGGCCCATATAGACGAAACGAGAAAATAAAATAGCCATGAAACAAGACTGAAAAATACTTACAGGAGGTCGAAATTCACGAAAATTCAGCTCACTGCCTTGAGTTTTGGGCCAAAGTCTGGATCTTTACGGGTTCCCACCGATCCCAACAGGCCACAAAATTGTAAAAACTACAGAGATTTATGGCTCAATTAAAAAAGGATAAAGAAAAAAAAACCCTAGAGACAAGTCAAATGAATGAAAACAATGAAAAAACAAATGCAGGGAGGAGATTTTTAGGAGGAAGAGGAAAGATAAAAAGACTGCAAAGGAATGTGGTGGTGATTGTTAAAAGTAACAGTGTGTGTGTGTGTGCTGTGCGTGCGTTGTAGTGGAGATAATTTATTTATGTGCGTAATAAATAAAATAAAATACATGAGAATGAGAGAGAACATTGGTCAAAGTCAAACCAAAAACTCATCTGCCTGCAAGACTGGAACTCCTATTTTAGGAAGTAATAAAATAAAATTGTTATGACACTTTTAGCCTTTCTATTGTGGACCGCATGAAGAATAAACAGAGAGACTCCAATGAATTTAGTTTACTCTGGTCAATTAGAATGATTTTTGTTGGTTTATTTACCACAAAATTATAGGAAAATAACAGTAATGTATTTTATTTACTTGCTCACGGTGGACACATGTTAATATATTTACTGCTTGGGTGACATGCACACATTAGTGATGTACTTTTTGATAGTTAAACGTTCAAATTTAAACATATTGGTGATGAACTCATTGGTAATGAGCATATTGGTGATGAACATATTAAAATCACCAATGTGTGCATGTCAAATAAGCGGTGGATATATTAACATGTGTCCACCGTGGGTAGGTAAATATTATCTAGGAAAATGATAGTTTTTTTTTTTTTTTGGTACAAGGACCTTCCGGTGTCCGGATCCACAGGAGAACCGACTAATTCGGAATCGAGCCGGGTAGAACCACAAGGGCGGAACGAATAGTTAAACTTTCAAATTTAAACTTTGACTGGAGTCTGGAGCATTAAAAAGATTTCTGAAATCTTCTGCATTTGATGACATTTTTAGTTTGAGTTCATAACTGATAAGGTGAGGGCAATTCAGACATTCAGGACACCAACATGAGATTGAGGGCAATATGGTCCCACTAGCTTCATCTGTAATCCCAGCCAAATACAACTTTTATTTGTTTTATAAAAAAAATAAAATAAGGGCCTCGTTTGACGAGAGACAATCCAGTCAAAGCATGAAATATTGGCATCAAAATATATTATACACATTAGTATATATTTTAATTAATTAATTGAGAGATGGATATGTATTATTATCATGATTTTCGCGTGGTCAAAGATCTACATTAAAATTTTTAAAATGGATACGAAGATCTACATTAAATTTTTAAAATAAAATGGGTTTGTAGCCAAATGCGTCCAATTAAATCACTAGATTCAATCGAATGTCCTTTCACAACTTTAATAACAGTATTTTAGGTTGGGTAGTGTTTGAAAAAAGATTGAATATTGTTGTAATAAAAATAAGTTAAAGTTCAAGTTTAAGTTCGGTTGGTTATTTTTTATTTTTCAGGGAATTTTAAATGAAACAGCTGACCCAAACTCGTCACGGATAAACGTTTCATGTACGCGAATAAACGAGCCGAAATGATGGCTCGTTTATTGAACGAGTACTAGTCCAACTCGGTTCAAATAACACCCCAACATAAAGTCTCTAATTACAAATGCTTCAGCAAGGTCGCAAACCAAAATGGACAAAACTGAACTATAGAAGAAAAAATCAACTTGAGTGGCATCACAAAATACTTTGAATTATCCACAAAATCCTTAATTATTATCTGCATTCAATGCATGGCCTCTGTTACATAATACATCCCCCACTGAGTATTGAGAAAACTCCGCACCGTGTAATGTTTCTCAACAGAGGTCTAATTACTCGTGTAACTACCAGAAAAACAAGTACTTGCTTTGATTATATTTCAAACTCACTTATTCAAAATGAGAGGAAAAAAAAAAGTGACATTTAATCTAGGCACTAAAGCCCAACAAATAATCAGTCGTATTTTAATAACATAAATAAAAGTATAACATTTCATAATAAAGTTATACACATTCCTGTTATAACCGACTCGACCCTAATGGTTAAAATTTGTGTACATCGAAATATACGAATAAAACCAAATGACATTGTTCTGCTACAGGGATTGAAATCTGCCATTCAATAAATAAAACAACTATCTAATGTTCTAAAGTCTCACAATCCATAGGATTCTAGTTGCCTATTTTGATTCTATCTATTTCAGAAGGTAAATCTTGCACAGCCACAGCCAGCTATTCTCGAAAATACACGCGAATAATGAGTTTCAAAAATCACACATCATGTCTTGGTGGACTAGAAACCCCAAAATCTTACAAATCCCATTAAAAATTGCCTGAAAAAAATATAAGTTAAACAATGATTCATGGTTAGAATCCACAAACAACTGCATGCAATTATAAAATGAGGAAAATATTCTCTTTTTTTTGGTAATTCATATACTTTGTGCAATATGTCTGGACTCACCAGACCTAAAACAATATTTATAATTTGTAATCAAAATATATACTTTTAAGATGGATTTATACTTTTAAAGAACACCACAAAAAACCATTTTATCATTTTGTTTGAAGATTATTCAAAATTGTCCATTTCCGAATGGATGAAAATTAATCAGCCCAATCATTTATGTCCTGTGTCGACTTGGTTATAAGAAACTTCCAGGATATATCAATTGTAAACATCTATTGAGTGTCAAATATCACATAAAAACTGATGGGGATTAAAAAGGGAGCCAAAAGTGGTGGGGTATTTTAGTAAATCTAATTGTAAGAGCATCTATAACGCATTGGGTCTAGTCTTGCCAATGTGACATGTAAATAAACTCATGTCTTGGATAACATTGATATCAATCAATCAATCAACATACCCAGTATATTCCCAACAGGTTGGGGTATG